GGGGGGAGGGGTGGGATCCGCTTTATAACCCACACAAGATCTGACCCTCTCTCCGTGGTGGCATAAAAATTGTAGATGGTTTTTCTTTTTAATATGAACCCCCTCCCCCCAAATCCCACCCATTCCCGTGCCATCCGTCATCGGATAGACTACACAATTTATAAAAATTATGTTTTATTCAACATTTTTGATTAATATGCCTTTGGAAACCGACAACGAAAGATCAGTGTAATTGGTGTTAATAATGGTCTTAAGTTTGCTTCTGATATATTCTTTATATATTTCTAATGTCGTTCAGCTCTCTTAAGCTAAAATAAAAACAAAAATTTTGCTCTCCAATACAGACACATGACCGTTAACTGCAAGGAGTCTATTGGATCATACACCTAAGGCCCTGGCTAAACGAGGAAACAAATTTCCAGAAACTTCCCGCGCGCATGCTTCCCCGATGATTCCAAGTTTAGCCACATGCGAAACATTGCTACGTGCAACAAATTTTGCTTCCAAGATGCAAAAATGTTTCTGCTGTGCGACAGAAACATTTCATGCTTCCAAGACACATGGAAATTTTGAAATTAAAAAATATTTTAAAATCAATTACTATTTATTATTTTGTTATGACAACGTTATTGCTTAAAACCTTCTCTTTCTGTCCCTACCATTGGACTATGCGGCCCTTGGTTCTTAGGTTTGAAAATTGCTAAGAAAATTAAGTTACTGGCATAATCAAAAATCAATTTTTGTATTCTTAGGTGTCAAATCATTTTTGAAAGCTTTTCTGAAATATTGATCTCGATATGCATGTGCACAAACATCGGTTCATCAGTATGTATCAAATGAAAAATATTTGTTATATCGGCTCCCTTTTCGTCGGTCTGAAATTTCCACTTTTATTTGTTAATTAGAATCATAATAAGCCTTACTCTGTCCTAGATTATAAGCCAGAGGTTGTTTCATATTGTTCGATAATTGTCTAGATCTACCGAATGCTATTAGCTTTTCGAAAATCTAGAATATGAATCAAATGTTAAATGTTGATATTCATTCAGTTCTATCTTTCTTTGTGACCTTTGATATTTAATGTTCTTATAAATAAAAGCCGAATTACAATGATTTTACAATTGTTAATTTATTTATTTATCTAAACCTATTTTGTCTAACCATTTATTACCCAAGAGCGAAAGCGCTTATCGAAAGAGCCCATCATGCTTTACATAATTATGAACGTGTTGTGGAATTTTCGTTGTGCACTTCTCGTTAATTCCCCTAATTAGCTCATCGAACTCTTTTCCTAATAAAATTCTTTTAACACTCTTTAGAATAGGAGTCATAAGGTAAAAAAAAAAGGTATGGTGCTGAATTGTGTACTAAAGAAAAGAAGAGCTATGCTAGTTGTAGTGACATGAGTCTCCTCATTTGTAATGAGAATGAGGGGTCATAGTGGAATTCACTTTTGGTTGCTTAGCAGATTCAAATGCACCGAACGACCGTGAGAGAGAAAGAGAGAGAGAGAAAGAAAGAGAGAGAGAGAGAGAGAGAGAGAGAGAGAGAGAGAGAGAGAGAGAGAGAGAGAGAGAGAGAGCTAGATAAATGGGCACTTTTGTAACCTAGAAAGGGCACTTTT